GAAGCACAGAGTTGTGTAGATTTTACTATCAGTTCGTTCCAAGAGGCTATTCTTGAATGGATAAATTTGTGTCAAAGAGTTTCTGGCACTTTCATTGGTAAGACAATCAGGGAAGAGAAGAAGAAAGAGATGGGTAGACTGTATATAGTGTTAAAAAGAGAGAATAAGAGAGTTATTCAAAATGAGATGATTTGGCGGACAATAGGGCAAATCTTGAAATTCCTAAGAAAAAGCAGCAAAGAAATACTGAATGCATATATCAAGACAGAATTTGAAAAAAAAAAGATAGCTATAGTGAAAGATTTTAAGTGCCGAAAGTTGCATCCAAAAAACATACATCTTTCATGAATTTTGATTTATTGATTGCTCCTAGAAGATAAAACATTTCAATAGTAAAATTTAGTTAAACATCATTATTTTATCATGAACATATTTAATTTTAAAGTCTTTTTTTTTTAGCAAAATAATTGTTCAGTCCCAAATTGAATTTGCCTAATCCATTTTGAACTTGTTATGTCCCAAATTGGATTTGCTTATTCCATTTTGAATTTGCTACATCCAATCTTGAGTTTGGTTATTCCATTTAGAACTTGCTTAGTCCCAAATTGAACTTGAAATGATATAGAAAGAACTTGTCCACCACAGATCTTTATTGTCAACAATTCAAGTGGGTGGGTCAATAGTGCAATAAAAGTATTATCCGCCAGTGTGAAATACAAATTTTCACTGAATGAAACAAATCCTGATGATGATAAAAACAAATACATTACACCATGTCTCCTGACCTTAAATGATTGGTGTTAATATATACATCTTTTTGTCTTGGTCAATTGAGATGGGTTATAGTAAATATCCTGTTCAATATCAAAATTGTTTGTTAATTTCCTTACCATAACCAGTTGGCCAAATTCCCATGGGCAGGGGGGGATAATGCACTGTCATAGGGAGAGAGCATCATGGCAGGGTTAGGGTTGTTTTCTTTTAAGCTTGAAGTAGGAAACATCTAGTGTCTTTGGAGTTACATTTAGATACTTGAAAATATTCTCAATTGGAGACTATGTTATAGAAGATTTTTCTAATTAGGCTCCACCAGCAAGGTCATGTGCCTGGTATACTCTTCTTAAACTGGATATCATGATGGGTATACAGGGCTTCATAGGTCTGTACTGCAGTGTCACTTTATAGACAATGCTTTCTAATTTAATATTAATCCTCAAAATAGCATTTTCTTAGTGCCAGAATATTCAGAAATAAGATGTCAGTTCAAGTCTCTTTCATTAAAGAAAAAAAAAAAGAGCGCTAAATATTATCAATGAAGCCAGGAAAACTGTTTTTGTACTGGGTGGTTATAATTAATGAAATTAAACTTAATTACATTTTAATCTGTCTATCTCTCCTTGAAAATATGAATTGCTTTCTAGATGTAATGATTAAAAACATTGTCTAAAGTCAAATATGATGAAATGAGAATCCTGCCTTACTTTAAGACAAATTTTAACACCCAAAGTAAAGATTTTACGTGGAAGTTTCACTTCTTTTTTTTCCTCATTCCTCCTCAAAGGTGATGTTCTTTCAAGACAAATATGGATCTTCCCAGTTTTCTCTTTAATATCTATGAATGTCTCAATAAAAGATTGATTAAGGATGAATGCAGTGAACATTCTGTTCATTGAAAGTCTTCAGAATATGTCTCAGCCCAATTCTGGGCAACCAATGAAAATCCTGGTTGAATACTTTCCCATGGATGAAATGATCATCTGTATGAGGTAAATTGTTTGGATCTCATTAATTGTAATTCACTTATATGCTCTATAATAAAAATTATATTGAGCTCTTTTGTGGATCAGTTTTAATATTTTATATTACAAGGATCTACTTCAATTACTTACCCACGGATTTTTTTTTTTAAATGTCTATATATATATATATATATATATATATATATCTATCACATACATACACACATACATACTAGCTTAAAAGCCGTCCTATCTGGCAGCATTTAAACCAACTCCTGCAGAGGGCTCTTGATTGGGCCTTCATCACAATAGGTAGGGAGGAGTAGATGCGATAGGCAACAATAAACTACAAAACAACTCAAAACTGATCACTGCATTAATTTTTAAATTTAAAAGTTGAATGATAATTCTTCTGCTACTTAATTTAAAGACAATTTGATGTATGCAGGTCCTTACTTTCCGTATAAACAATTATTTTTATTCCATGGATGATTTTCACAATTAATTTTGATTATTCCTAAGTAATAAAAATCGTTATCGTACAAAAAATTTGTTGCAAAAACTCACTTAAAAAAAAAAAAATTGCCAAAAATTACAGTAATGAAAATTTCAGGATTGCAGATGTTGGATCCAGACCAAAGTCAGTCAGATACCAAAATGGTATGATATGTTCAGTTACAGCCTCTAGGAATAAAGTTGAAAAAGTGTGACACACTGACATTTGCATTATATAGATGACACTAAATGAAGGGTGTGCTAAATGTACTTAGAATTTCAGAAATGGTATATGGAATGTTCCATCTGTCTAGCACCAAACATCATGCCTTCTTTGAACTCCAGTAATTCATACTGTCATGTCAGGAGCAGAGAAATTGGTGTTCAAATGTATTCACAAGATGCCCAACTGATATAGGTTTGGGCATTTTCATGACATCAAGGGACAGTGGTGCCACCAACCATTCCCGTTAAACATTGCTATCACATGATGTGATATGTTGGTTATGTGGTATAATACCAAAACTTTAAAGTTCACAAGATATTCTTAGAAGAAAATAAGTTCATGCTTGCGACATTTGAGTGTCAGATGAAAAGCAAATTGCTCTAGTTACCTGGTTAACATCATGTAAACAGAGTTTGAAGGCCTAATTGAAGCTGACTTTTATTTAAAAAAATAAAATAATAATATAGTTTTTCTGGCCTTTGAAATTCTTTTGCCATCTAAAAATTGTTATTCTCCATTTGATGCATTGGTTAATAAAAATCAAAGCAGTGTCCAGCTTAAGTCATTTCATATCCTAACCAGCTAATGGTCACTAAATAGCCATGGCAGAATATTACTAAATAAACAAAAAATGTAATTGTTTGTCCTGTGTCAGACAAAATCTTGTTAATGAACATTTTTTGAGGATCCATCCTGTAAGGTTAATTTTGGCAGTCTTTATTCAAGAAATGATTGAAACCAGTTCGATAGAGAATTTTTTTTTTTTTATTAGTAAAGTCCATGCCTCAAAGAATACAGATCATGAGGTGGAAGCTTTTGTGATTTGTTTTTGTTGATGATTTTCCTCTACTTGGGAAAAACATGCCATTAATTAAAATCATTTAATCTAATTTGTATGAATATTCAACTAAGACAAAAATCTATCATAATCTTGATTTGTTGATTTCCAATAAAGTAAATGTGGTGATTCCAAAGGTTTTGCTAGAAGCAGTAGAGAGAAATCCACCTTTAGCATAGTTTACAAACAACAATAAGCTGAAAATCCCATCTTTTAATACATCATTCCTCTTTGGGGAATGAATGCTCCATAAGTAAGAGTGAACAATGAGAATCATTTTCTAGTCCTACAGCATTCTTAAAATGACCAAAAAAGAAAAAAAGAAAAAAAAAGGGTGGTATGCTTTAGCAAATGAAATGGCCAGTCAAAATATGAAATCCTTTGTTCTACCATTTAACCATGTAATAATTTTATAGTTGCTCTTTTCTATCACACTAGAATGTGTTTTGGAATTAAACTTTCCAAGTCAGTTTGATCCAAGTATGTCCAGTTGGACATCTTTGCAACTGTCAAAACTGGAAGAATTTTATCAGATCCACTTTAGTTGCATGTTGTAAAAAAATCCAAATATGGAAAAAGATTTTAAATTCTGGATTGAGGAAAAAAAACAAACCAAAAAAGATTATGAACATAAATAATCAAACAGAAGACAAGAGATAAAGAGAGACACATTGTCCACAAATGAGGACTTTATTTCAATAATTAGGCAACGTTTGACTCTACAATATAGACCATGTGGCGTACAGTGAGCTGTGTTCAAAATAATAGCAAAGGAGGAGGAGAGAGAAAAGGACAAAGAGGAAAACTTAGAATGACAAACTGTAATGAATTAAGATGGCAACAGAATTAATTGTCATTAATAATTAACATTTTTCTTTTGGATTTCCATGGGAATATATAGACCTTTTTTTTCTTCTTGTGTAGAGGAATAAGAATTTACTAGCATGAAAACATGAAGGGGGAGGGGAAGATGCATTACACTTATACGTTGCTCACGTGCACACACATAAGCACGCAGGCTCAGCCTCAAGCATTCAAAATAAAATACATTTTGGTTTTATCTTTTTCTTAAAAAAAATAAGAGAAAATAATTAGTATAAGTACATACACATTAGGAAGGGGAGAAAGCAGGTATTTTATTTTAGCTTCATCTTTGGTCATATCTAAATTGTATTTTAAAGTGTATTTTTGTAATTGTCTTAATTTTAATACTAAATTTTATTAATTTTAATATAAGTTTTAATTTGTATGTGTTTGTGTGTGTGTGTGTGTGTGTGTGTGTAAAATAATGTAAAGGACTTCAATTTTAATTTGTTCCCAGCAGTGTTGGCAGTGGTTTAAAAATTTTATTACAAGATCATTAATCCTAAATTTGAATATGCTATTTGAAAATTCCAATACAAGTGGAAGCATTAGGTTGCAGCTAGAACTTTGGAAAGGATAAATTAGATTAGCAGACCTAAATATCACAAATTACGGGACAGGAATTTTTTTTTTTTTTTTTTTTTAATATATATTATCAATATTTAAAAAATTAAAAAAAGGGAAATTCAAATTGACAAAAAGAAAAAAAAAAAAAAAAAAAAAAAAAAAAAAAAAAAAGGTTGGGGGGAAAAAACTACATTAGTCATGGGTTTATATAATTGTTTTATGTTAAGATTGTTTTCAATTCCTCAGCCGAGAAATATGCCAGACTTTCCACCGGGCGGGTTAACGACTCTGGTATGAGAACGTCTGGGGCGATCATCATCAAACTGAGCACCTGGAAGAGAGAAAAATACAGTGAGAATCAATGAAGGCCACATAAGAGAGAGAGAGAGAGAGACATGCAAACATGCACTAAAGAGAGTAATGGGTTTAATTTTTAAAATTCAGCAACAGAAAAAAAAAAAAAAAAAAAAGAGAAACTAGCAATTAACAAATCAGATGAGCAGTAAGTGATCAAAGGCAGAATTAATTATTAAAAAAGAAAAAATAAGCATGTGTTTGAGTTGGCAAAGAAAAACAATCTTAAAAAAGTATAAAAAAGAAAACATTAAATGCTTTGAATTTATTGTTGGAGAGTTGTCAAGCATCAGCATCACTAGATATGACTTTGGCAGAAAAGCACAAAGATCACACTTGGGAGTTGGCTATAGGTCAAGCAAAGTGAAATTCTCTGGTATCTAAGGTCATAAAGGTGGGCCCCTTAAAAGATTACATTTAGAATCTAAATTATCAAGCACAAACTTACTTTCAGTTAATTTTGTTATAAAAAAAAAAAAAAAAAAAAAAAGCATCAACCCAAAAGTTCTAAGAAGAGATTATTTGAAACAAGCTTTGTCTCTGCTTTATTTTATTAAAATAAATACCAGGAAAAATAACCCAATTGTGAGAGAAACTGTCATTTTTTTTTAAAACTAATTGTTCATGCCATACAAGGCCTAAGAGTCACTCAAGGTAGAGGGTTACTGAATGATGTTGTTGTATAAAGAAGCTAAGTGCAGATTATGAGGATAAGTAGGACAGATAATTGTTAAAACTTGGCTTTAAGAGTGTTGTAATCGGGAAAGCATCCTCTCCGGAGTCTATTCCATAAAGTAGTAGTTTTGGGGCAAAAGCTGCCCAAATGAAACTTCCTTATTAATGAAATACTTTGTCAAACCTAGTTACATATATATATATATATCCCCAAAGTTTAAAAAGAACCCGCCTCAAAATTTCTTAGCAAAATTTTTTTTTTTTTTTTTTTTATCCATCTAGAAAAAGCAAGTTTTTCAATACATTGCCTGATCAATATTGCATCAACACATTCTGTTTGTTAAAAATATACCAGTTTTCTTAAGTATAATCTTGTAGAAATAATTTTAGCAAATCTTATAATAAAAAAAAAAAAAAAAAAAAAAAATTAAAACTAAGTGAAATCAAAGTGGCAGTGAAGAGCTGCTATTTAAATTTTTTATGACATTCCAGTAATTGAAATATAAAAATTTCACATAATCTATTTTCTAATGTTAGATTAGGAAGGTACAGTGAGCAAATTTAAAATGGATTCTTAAATACTGAGTGAAAGTATCGAAATCAATCATTGGGTAAGAGGAAGAAAAATGATTGTTATTCTTCAAAATATAGAGTCAACTTAAAAAAATAGAATCACAGACAAATTACTTACAATAGACTAAAGAAACTACTTTGGCTGAGTTGTATTTGCCATTGATCTCAAAGTATTACCACTACGACTATTAAAAAACTCATGCTTGTTATATAGGCAGGCAAGAATAACTAAGAATTAAGAAACTATTTGCACATTGGATATTATTGCTGGTATGCTTGTATAAAAAAAAGAAGTCATATTGAACAAGTAAGTTGAATGTGTTACTTTGATAAAATAGAAAAAATAATATAAACAAAATAAAAAAAAAAATAATTAAAAGGAAATATAGAAATCATTTAAATTTCATAGTTTTCAGATAATGAAAGTTACCTACCAGGTACTTTGATGAGACCTACATAGCATACTGTTTAAACTTAAGCTGATGAAAAGTGAAAATACATGTTTTACTCTAAGATATTCATTGAGCAGAAAATATTTCAGATCTGTTAAATGTTAAACAAGAAAATTGAAATTTCTATGAGATGCACAATGGGAGGCAAAATATAAAGGCCTCAAATCTTGTTGATATCAATATAATAGACATTTAGAAATGATATGAAAAAAAACTACAAGTGACTTCTTTATATCAAGTATTTTCATAAACAGGCAGGTTTGATAAAAAGAAGCATGAGACAGGATCAAAAGGTCTTCAATTAAAAAAAGATAAAAGATTCAATATTTTTTTTAAAGATTAATTACTTACTAAACATTTCACATGTAACTTGGTTACATTTTTTTGCTTTCAATTCATAAAGTTTACAAGATTATTTATCTGCATGAAAATTATAAGTTAAAATACTAATTGCTGTAAAATCAAAAAGCATCATTGAAAGAATAAAACAAAGCAAATATTTTATTCGTGCAACAATAAAAATTCTAACTGAAAAGAAATCTGATCTATATCTAAGAACACAAAAATCTTCAGCCTCAAAACAAGTATTTGCAGAAATTGAAACAGCAACAAAAGCAATAACAAAACCTGATCTAAACCACACACACATTATATATATATATATATATATATATATATATATATATATATATGACACACACAAATATATGTAGGTACATATGTAGGGGTGAAAATCATGAATCAAATTCAAAGCACATGCATCAAAAATTGACTTAGCAAAATAAAACTGGTTTTGGGAAGATAGTGGGTTGTAAAGAAAACATTGAAACAAAAATCAACAACTACTAATCAAAAGAACTTTTTTTTTTTAACAAATAAACAGAACAAAGATCTTATCTTTCATGAACAGAGAGAAGAAAATGGAAATGGTTGAAACATTTTAAATAATAAAAATAAATAAGAGGCTACAAATAATTGATTCCCTCTTTTTAATTTCTATGCTTTTCTAATTTTATTTTTGAAAAAGAAAAAAAAAATACATTTGTAGAAAATCTGAAATAATCACAAAAGGTCAAAATATGTAACAACTCATTTAATTTTACTACTACTAAGGTCATACTTGGGCTGATTTATGCCATTTATGACAACCATAATTGTCAGTTTTAGGCAGCAAGCAAGCTTATATATATATATATATATATATATATATATATATATATATATATATATATATATATATATATATATATATAAACACGAGTTTATATAAACTTTCAGAAATGCATGAAGTTACCTCAAATTTGAAAAAAAAAAAAAAAAAAGATTGACTAGATGTTTCAATGCTTCAGCAAAAAATTTAAAAGAAAAAATTTAATTACAGAAAGCCACAGTAGATACTTTGATCTCACAATAATTGTCTGTAGTTTCTATAGAACATTGATTCATTAAAAGCTACGTACTCATTTTTGTATAATTGGAGGTTATCAAATTATGGAAATTTTGACTGTCACAATGACTTAAGTTTGCTTTTTTAGAAAAAGTAACATTTTTGTACAAGTTATAATATATCCATGTACAAAAAGATGATAATCACAAAAACTAATTAAAAGCTTATCGATTCTAATAACAATGAAATAAGAATGAGTTTTGTGGTTTAATGAAATATATAAGAACTTATGGTTAAATGCAAATGCATTTTCTATAAAAGCAATTGAATTAGAAGCTGAATGTTTCATGAATTCTTTTAGATACATCGTAATAAACAATTCATAAATTGATTCAACACTCACAACAAATGTTATTTTTCTGGTGAGGTAAAACAAACAAAAACAAAAAACAAAAAACTTGGATGTTCCTGTAATCCCAGGCAAAACAAAAGCCACAATAAAGCAGTGCTTTGTTTCTTTTAAAAAAAAGAAAAAAAAAAGAAAACTTTTACTCAAGCAGCAGATATAGGATACAACAGAGAATATAGAAGATCAGAGCAAGACCACCTGGAATCACACTGTAGTCTGGCTACACATCATATTTTAACTTTCAATTTTCCTCTAATGTGTAGGACTACTATTTCAGGTGCCCTCAGACAATTCTCTTCGCTTGTCCGTGTTAGCATTTTCACTTAATAGCACTCCCTACTCCCCATCAAACAATAAGCGTGACAGCCTCCAGCATAAAGGCTCAGATCCAATATACCAGTCATTAATGCTGGGAAGATAATTTGAATATAACTTAATTTGAAATAATTTTTATATAAATTAGTTGCAAATATGTGGTTAGAAAAAGAAAAAAAAAAGCCACATACACACGTTAATGTAACTAATCAGGAGAAAATAAAAAATGTGATTTAAAAAAAATTGTTTCACTTTGCATATAAGAAAGTTAAACTGATCCATAATACATGTAATTTAATGGGGAAACAAAATACAAAAATTATGCTAAAAGGGTCAAAGTTTTGGAAATTAAATTAAAATGGTTTCCTATCCTCTTTCTCTCTCTCCCCTCCCAGTGCAATGTTAATATTTGAACATATACAGGTAGACATTATTAAATATCCTACTCTATTTCAAATATATAATTACCATGTTGTTCAACAACAAATTGAATTGCTTAAAATGAAAAAAAAAAATCCCTCTACATACTTATTTCATAAAAGGAAGTTCTTATTTACCTTTCTAAAGAAATCAATAACTTCTTTGAAGATTTTAAATTGATCCTGACGGAAGAAATTTTTGCCTGTATGTCTAAGTGGATAGTGAAAAATACTTGGCCTGATCCACTTCCCAAACTCTAATCAAATAGTGACATATTTGAATTCTTTTTAGTGCCCTGTTGTAATAGAAATGCTTGGAGAAAAAAAATTAAGTGATGAGAGAAAGAAGTTAGGTGAAAAGGTTTTAAAATCTTCATCTGTAAAGACCGATACGACTTTGGTAACATTTATGCAAAAAAAAAAAAAAAAAAAATTTATTCACTAAATTGATCTACACATGCACATTTTATTAAATATTTGATCCATTTTGAAGGTAGCTATAAACACCCACTATAATCTTTGAAAGAGGATAACACTGTTTTTTTTTCACATCCAGTCATAGTACAGATCTATTCCAATTATTATATGAAATCCTCTAATCACAGGTAACAATGCAAATCTATACATTTGGTTTTTCATTCTGTTCAAATGAAATCTCTTGTTTATTAATAATTCTTTGAAGTTTGCTGCAAATTATCAAGTTCTTGTTATTAAACTATCTAAGATTGTCCCTTTAAATGTAGAATT